AGGCTGGGTGCAGTGGCGGATCTGCAGCCTCTATCTGTTTTTGGCTCCGGCCTCGCGACCTCCCGCGGTTTACGCCGATTACTCCTGCTCTCAGCCTACCCGAGTAAGGCGACTCACCGCCACCGCCGCCCGCTAGTTTTTGTGTTTTTTAGTAGAGACGGGTTTTCAATCATGTTAGCCAGATGGTGTCTCGATCTCCTGACCGCGTGATCCACCCGTCTCGGCCTCCCAAAGTGCAGGGATTACAGGCTCGTTTTTTTTCTTTTTTTGAGTCGGAGTTTCACTCTTGTCACCGCAGGCTAGAGCATGCAATGGCATGATCTTGGCTCACTGCAACTTCCACCTCCTGGGTTCAAGTGATTCTCCTGCCTCAGGCCTCCCAAGTGAGCTGGGATTTCAGGCGTGCGCCACCACGCCTCGGCTAGGTTTTGTATTTTTAGTAGACAGGGGTTTTGCCATATTGGTCAGGCCTGGTTCAAACTCTTGACCTCAGGGTGATCCACCTGCTCGGCCCTCTCAAAGGGCTGCGGATTATAGGCGTGAGGCACCATATCTGGCCAGTACAGTCAGTTTCAAAAAGGAAAACTACTCAGGTGGCGCCGAATCTATTCAAATAAATCTTGAAATTCAGAGAACTTTCTCAGTCTTGGTGTGGAGATGCACCTTGAAAAACACTTACATATATCTAATTTTAAATGTGCAGTTCATTTTTCCCTCTTTGTCAGTGAAAGGCCAGCTAGATAAACTAATGCTAACAACAGCCGGTAAGATTCCACTTCAGCAGCTGTAAATTCACAAGTCACTACTCTCAGATGAGCCATCAATTTGTATTTTTCTCAATACCAGAAGGTTGCATTGGCCTGAAATTATATTCAATTCATCCTTACAATCTTGCTTCTTATATAAAGAGAAATGAAAAGCCATCATTGCTCCTTTTACTGGCAAGGTTGGTGTCTTTCCAGTGAAATCATGGTCAGGATTATGAGGTGGGTCCAAATCAGACTAGAGCCATGAAGGGAAGAAAGCAGTTCACAGCCCAGAGCTGCTGATCATTCTCTGCAGATGTGTTTAGAACTGCTTTAAATCTCTGGAGAGAAGCGCAAGGGAGGGCCTTCAAACGCCCAAGTAACTGAAAGTTCCTATGCAATCATATGACTCTCGAACAAAGTTTTTTCTCCTCGTGAAATTAACCAAAGATTAAAGCCGTAACTATAGGCTCATGAGCTATACTCTATTCATTATTTAGGTCCTGACTTAAGTTCTCTTCTGAAAAATCATCAATTATTATCAAGGCAAACATCATGCCTTCTTGAAAGTTGTTTTTCTGGAACAAGAATATTTTATAAATGAGCATTTCAAGCGTATTTTCTCAAACTAATAGGAGGTAATGAGCACAGTGAACTAAGATAATCTCAGTTTAAACAAACAGGATTTTCACCGATGCTGGACTTGAAAACACTATCCAGATTAATGACTCTGTTAATACCCGGTCACTGGGCATAAGTCCAAGTGTAGCATAAATATTCTTCCAGACTTGATGACAGTGAAATATCCTATGTTTAGCCCTCTGAAGGGATAACCAAATTCTCAGTGATTGATGGATGGCAGCCAACTAGGTTCGCTTTTTTAGTATTGCTGTTTGTTGGAATGGGGTCATGCTTGTGAATGGATAGTGACGGTGTGCGGTTTTATGAGGAATTCTGTAACGTTTTATCCCTGTCTACCCCTTTCAAAAGAAGTGTGAGAAGAGAAAAAAGAAAGCTGTACTAACTCAGCCACTACTAGGACTCTGGAATATCTGTGGTTCCCCCAGGGGCTCAATTTATATACTTGCTCCATCTCTGTCTGCGGACACTGTGAAACGGAATTTGGGATTTATTATCAAGACTTCTAATTACTAATATAGGCATTGACAAGGTAGGGGAAGGGAGTTATACGCAGCACATATTGCAAACCTTTGGAAGGCACATTATGACACAGTTGAGCCTACAGTATCTTAGGACTAGTCCAGCACTATTTAATAGTCATATAAAGCAGGCAACATGTGTAGTTTTAAATTTTCTAGTAGCCATGGTTTAAAATGTAAAAAGAAAATTAATTGTAATAATCTATTTTATTTAACTCAGGATATCCAAAACATCATTTCAGGCCGGGTGCAGTGGCTCACGCCTGTAATCCCAGCCCTTTGGGAGGCTAAGGCA